TATATATATATATATATACTGCTGAAATAATTAAGTTAACTTCATAAAATAATTAAGTTATATAATTAGATTTTAAGCTAAAAGAACAATATTTACATATTTATTTTTCTCTTCTTTAGCTTCTGCTTGCATTTCTCTGAATATATCGTGCTATGAAATATTCATCATCTTTTTCATCAGTTCGATCTACAATAAATCCTTTTTCAAATAATTTTTCAACTGCTCAACATGTTTCAGCATCTTTCAATTACGTTTTCATTCATTTAAAATGACTAAAATGACACCAGGAGTTATTATGTGAATTTCCAAAGCACATAAAATATTTCATTAAAGTCATTAACTAAAAATATAAAAATTAAGACAATCTGTTTCAGAATTGTACACAGGGTAGAATGATCTCAAACAAATAATTCGAAATGGAAGCTTCAAAAATTGACAACATTGATTACATTATGATCAAGTTTTATATGTAGAGTGTTGATATACTGTAAATATTATTACTGCTTGTTTTTATATTTTCAGTTGAACTGTACAATAATTTTTATGCTTAATATGATTATGAAAATCAATTTGGAATTTACTATTGTTATTTATACATTTTTGGTTAGTTTTAAATATTTGACCTGATTAAAGTATATAAAATTTTATTTAAATATTGTATATATGTGCCAAGCTAATGTTATACAAATATGAATATTTAAATGATCTGATGTTTATGTCGGACTATTGTACATTTCATTGTAAAATAAAAGTTAATCTGTTCCTTTACGTGTTATGTATTCTTGATTAAGGTTTTTTTTATTGTATTGATTATTTATAATTAATATACTTAAACAATTGTTATTTCAGGTTTGAAGTCATGGTTAATTTAGCTTAATGACTTATATAATAGTTTTGTTTTGTATTTTCAAAATAACCTACCTCCAAAATGTAGTTTTTCCAATAGGAATATCACCTACCCTATAATGATTTTAATTTAGAAGACTATAAATAAAGTTAAGCTATATATAAACAGGATTTTTTGCAGATACAGATTAAAGAGGGTGCCAAATTTATTCAAATATGAAAATCTTCACATTGTCAACTTTTACTCAGTTTTAAGAACACAGTTTGGTGGAAAAAACAAATAATCATATTTCGGCATCTATATGAAATCGAGTCCACACAATCACAAAATATCTATTGGCATTTTGTCATAGTTACGAAAATCTGTTAAAAAGGTTGCAGATTAGCTGACATTTTTAGGGACATTAAAAAATTTTCGGTCGCTTCTATCCAAAAGAAATATTTAATAGTTTTATGTAGCAATATGCTCTGATTTCCAAATATGAAATTGACTTTAAATTCTCCTTTACCTTATACTATGCTAAAACTTAAATATTTTAAAACAAAATTAACTCAATTGTGGATTAAGAGCATTATTAATATACTAGATTGTTTGCCTCAAGAAATTAATATAAAATATCTAAAATACATGAAATTTATAAGGCGAGTGTTTAAATTAAATACAATTATGTAAGATATTCATTTCGTATTTCTGTCTCTTTAATTTGTATACACAATGATAAAAACTTATTTCGAGTGGCCAAAATGATGGAATTATACCAAATGTTCGCTTCATTCCTGAAACAAAATGTTTTCGATAATAGTTGAAAAAAGTATTAAAAACGATGATTCAAAATTAAGTTCAAAATCTAAAATTGCTTTAGTGAAAATCATTTTTTTACCTTTAAATTGTGGACTACTTGTCACTAACTATTAGCTATTCTTGAACAAATGTAAATTCATTGTTTTTGCAATTATTATTTTTGATATAATTTCTTAATATTAAATTTAGCTATAATGCAAACATGAGGAGTATCGATTTCACTCATTTCATTATATGCCCTTGATCTCCGAAAATAATGTTAAATTCTAAATAGAAAGATAGATTTAAACAGTTAACAACAGTGGTCATATTGACACTTTTCAAATTTGTTTATATTGCTATGTTAATTTCTTACTTTTGTAGCATTTATTGTTAGTATTTTTTTTCCGAAATAGCTTAGTCTGTTGGTATGTACAGCTCATACTAAAAATATATTATTCTGTATATGGACAAAATAAAGCAATATACCCAAGCATTGCAAATGTAAAATAATCTTACTTATCAATCATTTTAGTTTTGCATAAAATTTCAAGTGAAATCGGACCAATGGCCGTAGTCATCTTGTAACTGATTTTCATAAAGTTATTTGACAAAAAAGTTCTTGATGAAAAATGACTAAGGTATTTTTAACCAATTTTTTGACAAAATATTCAATTTATTCATAAAATGTATAGCTATTATATCATCATGTGAGCACACTTTTTTAATATGTTTTTGTTTGAGATACATATATTTTAAAGGCTATCAACTGTAGATGAAAAAAGTGAAACTGGAAAATACAAAGTGTGCAACAACACAATTTAAATTAAACAACAAATTATTATTAAATATTATATTCCATTAAGAATTCATTAGTATGTTATTTCGCTTGCTTGACGACTGCCTTGCATCATATTGTATTTCAAATTAACAACAACTTTTATCTTATTAATAATTTTGTTAAAGCACTTTGAGACTGTTATGCTATTCAGAACTTTGATACTAAAGTTAAGAAGGCTCTTGTTTCGAGAGCCAAAACTATAATATGTCTATTTCTGTATTTTATTGATATTTTTAGTTCTCTATTCACGTTGAATGTATCATTTTGTTCATTTAACCTATTCATTTGGAAGTTAAAATATTTTATATCGAGAAGAATCTTATTTTCACTCCTTTATTTGTAGCAAATCCAGCTTTTTTAATACTTTTGACTTTAAATCAAGCACGAGCTTATAAAATGAAGAGTGTGAGAGAGTTAAGTTCTTCTACAACAATGGATAAATTATCATTATATAAAATAAAAATATAAACAAAAGTCTGTGAGAAAAGCATTTATTTGCAAATAGCTTTCGAACAAGTTAAATCCAAGAAATGGTTATTTCATAAATATAAATGCCACTTTGAGCAATTCAACTTTTAATTTTGTAATTACATTTCTATGACTGCACAATGGATTTTATATTTATTTTTTTTACTGCAAAATTAAAAATTAGTAATTTGCAAACTAACTGCAGAATTTAAACTTTTGTTATTTATTTTTTGAACATATTTCTATACACCTTTGTTATTTCAAGTTTCTAAGTCTTGCAGTTCCTGTGCTACACAGAAATGTAGCATAATGTAAATGTAAGGGAAAAAATAGAAAAAGTGAAAACATTCTCAAAAATAGCATTTCGAGCATATCGGAAATTATGTTAAGTTCATCAACAAGCACGTGTCTTTCATCTTAACAATTTTCAAGTTTGTTGTTTCATTTCTGCAGCTGCAGGGTTCACCCACATTGTGTTTTATCTGCAAGTTTAATAGTTAATAATTCTCAATCTAATTATTGAATATTTAATGTTTATATTTCATCGTACTTTTTGTTGCATTTTATTTACACATTTTTGTATTCAAATTTTTAAATAGTATTATTTGAACTGATCAAAATAAAATACAATATTAAGCTGAAAAACGAAAACAGTTTTTACAATTTTTTCCTAAAGTGACAAAAACAATGTTTCTTGACCTCTTTTCTTCATGTCACATTCTTTAATTTAACGCATTTTTAATGTAGGAAAACCAAGGGGGTATTTTTTTTATTTCATTGATATCGGTAAACTTTGTTATTTCTTCTTTATCCTTTGTTATTCCTTATATATATTTTAAATATTTGGGGTTGAAACCACTTTTTTTAAATGTCCGAAATTTTTTTTTTTGAGTTCTCCTTATCTTGAAAAATGTAACATCAAGCATTGGAATTTGAGTTCAAGAAAGTTTTTTTTGTGCCATAAGTAGTGTAAGTCCCCACCATAAAAAAAAATTAAATTCCTCTTAATTTTTTACTGACCAAAAACTAGCAAAAACACTCTCTTGATTTTTCATATCAAAAGAACATGACATTTAACATTAAGATAAAAAAAAATAAGTTCAAAAATTTTTTTTGTTTGCTCTAAAAATATCTTATTTTAGCTAAAACTCACTTCTTTATTTTTTTACTGACAAAAATCAAAAACACATTCTTTTGATTTTTTTCAAAAATAAAAGAATGATCTTTGAAACCTTGAGTAAAACAATTGAGAAAATAAAAATTATCACTTCTAAAAGCATATTGGTTTAAATTTGCAAAAACACTTCTTCAAAATCTCAAACAAATATTATTTGATCATGATTATATATTAATTTCAAACTATTAATTTCTCATGCTTAGATAAAGATTCGAAACATACATATTAAAGGTAAAGATAGCGTACAATGTCTATATTTATAAAAGAAAAATGCATAAAAACATATCTCACCCTGGCAAGAAAAGTGTCATAACTCAAAAATGTAGCATTTGAGAAAAAACAACTTAAAGAATATTTTTAACATTATTCAGAATTAGAAACAAAACTAACACAGCTGCCCTCAGCTGGATAAATTGCGAGTTAAAGATGTGACACTTTTTCAGCTATATGGGGCACTTTATACATATTTTTTATTGACATAACCTCAAAATTTCTGTTTTTTTATTTATGTCGCATTTCTTGCCGGGATACGATGATTGAAATAGTTGTAATTATTTTATACTTTTGAAGCGTTTTAAATTTTAAGGTTTGATTTTCACGCAGTTTAATAATTTTAAAATCAGCGTAAAACTGGGTATTTAAAAATATTTGTATTTTGGTAATTGTATTACTAAATTTATTTTTATTAATTTATTGTTCATTTATTTATTTTGACTTAAGTTTCTTTTACATAAAGTTATAGGGAAAACAATATTAGAGTAAAATGTAAGTAGTTAATGTTAATAAGTTATTTTTATAAGAATCCCCACTGAACATGAACTATTTCAGAACTAAAATTATACTTATGATTTTTCCTAATCAATATAATTTTTAATTTGGGTTTTAAACAAATTTATATCGAAAGTGCTTCCGCAACTGAATTTAAAATGGATATTTGACACCAAATTCTTTAGCTTCAAACCTCTCCTTTAAAAATTTATTAATTTCAGCCCGTTTCTAAAATTTTCAAATTATCAAAAAAATATAAATAATTTAAAACAATATAATTATTTTATTGCTTAAAAAAACTTATCTGAATTAAACAAATAACTTTGTTTGAAAAAATGTAACTTGTGGTATTTTAAATTGAACATAAATATGCACAGCATTGCTTGTTTTTAAAATTGAATCTAAAAATTTGAAGGAAAGAAGGGCAAATACAGGTGCTAAAGCGAAAAGGGCCAATCTACATTGTTCGGAATTTCTCTAAAAAAATAGTTAAATAAAGAGTATTTTAATAGCTATTTTATCGTATTCAACTAAAAAAAATCAAATAACCGTAAAAAAGACGGTACTCAAACTATTGACAGGAATAAAAATAGTTTATTAAATATTTATAACTATTATGATTAAGCAAACCAGCATTTCACTTACGCAAACTAGACCCACCTTATAAACCATCCATCGACAGAATGAGAGTTCCAACCTCAACGAAGACGTGTTAATAATACTTATATTGGCTCAACATATAAGTTTTTTATAGTGTCTTGCTCTCTGAAATTGATGCTCATAATCACTAGAATAGATTCAAAAACTAGGAAAAAAAATTTTTTTTGAATGTAAAAA